GCCACTGACAAGTTTCAGAAAATTCTTGTGATGAAGTTTTGCTCATTTCCATTCTTTCAACCAGAATGAGGATCCTCACAGTTTCCTCCTTTGCTGTAATTCATCTTGAAGAAAATTCTAAATGTCTCTTTCCTCAACTTTACTGCCTTTAAAGTATAAGAGATATTTACACTTTGTGCCCTTTAATTCATGTCAGCAATCATTTGATCAGTCATGCGTGTGTGTGTGGCTGTAGAGGGAGAGAGAGTGTGTGTGTCTGTGTGTGTTTATGCAATAACAAAAACGTGTGTGTCTGTGTGTGTGTTTAGTGGCGGTTGGGAGGCAGCATGAGGAGACAGAAGCAAACAGAGCGTGTTAGAGAGGAAGAAGAGCCACAGCGTCCACAGTCATGGGCTGGTCGGTGCGCACAGTGTTGGACAACTGATTTATATTTTTATACATTTTTCTCCAGAATACACGGTTGAATTTTTCTCTTCTTTGCCGTGTTTTATTGAGTGGAGAATGCCAAAGGCTGCACGAGTGTTCGTTTCTGCCGGAGCTCGTTTCCTTTTCGGAGGATTCATCATCACCATCACCTCGGGGAAACTCCACGGAGCCGTCGCGTCTCGTCAGTGAAGCCTTTTTGGTTCTGAGCGCAAAGCGGAGCGGACAGTTCACCGTTTTATTATAAGGCGGAGGTGAAGGCGCAGACGGGAGACGATGCTGCTCATCCAGTCCGTCCGTGGACGCTGTGCGCGGCTCCGGGAGCTCGACTGTCGGCTCTTTACGCGCTGAGAGGAGGCGATTCCCCCGTCAGGTCAATCACGCTTCAACGCTGAACTGATTGACTGATCAGAGGGGGAGGAAGGAGGGAGGAAGGGGGGAGGCGTGTGGATGTGAGACTAATAAAAAAAATTAATCAAGATCTGGATCTGCTGGTTGGTTCGAGAGGAGAAGGAAGGACGCGTCACTGGACCTTTTGGACATTTGTTGCAGGAGGATTTTTATTTTTAATTATATATTATTTTTTCAATTTCTATACTATAATTTAATTTCATCCTCTGCACCTGTAAATAGGAGATCCAGAGAAGAGGGGACACCAGGTTGACACCGCTGTTCAGGGGGGGTTGGGGGGTGGGAGAGGAAAAAATGCTGCCATCGCAGGAAGCCTCCAAAATCTACCATGACAACTACATGCGCAACTCCCGGGCCATCGGGGTCCTGTGGGCCATATTCACCATCTGCTTGGCCATCATCAACGTGGTGGTCTTCATCCAGCCTTACTGGATCGGCGACAGCGTCAGCACGCCCCAAGCCGGTTACTTCGGCTTGTTCCACTACTGCGTGGGCAACGGCAACTCCAACCGGGAGCTCTTGTGCCAGGGAACCTTCTCCGACTTCGCCTCCATCCCGTCGGGCGCCTTCAAGGCTGCGTCCGTCTTCGTGCTCATGTCCATGGTGCTCATCCTCACCTGCATCGGCTGCTTCGCCCTGTTCTTCTTCTGCAACACCGCCACGGTCTACAAGACGTGCGCCTGGATGCAGCTGCTATGCGGTAAGAATGGGAGAACATCTGGGGTGTATTTTGGGGGGTAAAGGTGTGGGTGGATGAGGAGGGGAGTCCTTCGAGACTTTTTTTTGGGAACCCCTTGAGAAGAGGAACGTCAGAACGTCTCAACTCCTGGTGTTATTGGTGGAAATGCCACCATGGCCCAGGTCCTCCAGGAGCGCATTGGTCATTCTGCGCACGGTGGACCGTCTCCTCTGGGAGCGCACCGGTGCTCTTAGAATTGAGCTGAAATGCGATCTTGTTGTTGATTTCTGAGCAAAGATCAAAGTGTCCAACAGTCTGCCTGAAAGTACTGTGATGCATTCAGTTTCATCCCTTGAGAGTCTGGCTGACTGCATGTTCTTATCAAAGTAAAAATACAACATCTACAGTCATTACTCCACCGTGTCCACAACAAAAAGCCTTTTACAGCCTTGTTGTCAGACTCTGGTCCTCCCCAAACCACGCATCGTTCTGACACTGCTTGTTGGTTTTCATTTGGCCAGCTGAAAGAAAGTGTCAGAGGATGTAATTGTATGGAATTATGATAATGAAATTACTTCAGCAGCGTTGCATCAAAGATCACTGCTTCTATTTCGGTTGCCATATCTGCCTTCCAGATTAGCCTACATTATGCATGATCTGCACATGCATTCCAGTAATATATCCCCACTCAGTGCATTCATTCGCCCGTGCAAAACCGGAACAAACGCTGTGTAAAGGCTGCATTGTGCATGTAATTGTATTAGGAGGTGCAATAAACTGTCAGATAGACATGGCTAAGAAGATTAGAGAGGGATGCATCGGAGAAGAAGAGTCAGCTTCCATCAATAGGTGCAGCTGAGGGATTATACCGATGAAGCTTCTTAGTTTCATCAATGGTGATAATTTTTTGGACCTCTAATCTTCCTTTTCAGAGCCACAGCACTGCTGGATGGATACACTGACAGATACAGGTTGTAGCAGTTGCCTCATTCCCAGACTCTCCCATCACAGAGTGTTGAACAGATTGTATCAGTTCAGGTGGAGCCTACAAGTGTCTCCCACAAGCTCAGCTGACATCAAAGAATCCCCCGGCGGATTCCTAATCACACAAACTGCTAATTAACTGGACGTGATGCAGATGAAACCGGCCTCAAATGTGCTTAAAGAGACGGTGAATGCTCGTAGCAGGTGGGAGATGGGTTTCACCGCGTTCCAGATATGAGGCTTCATCGGAGGTTTATTGAGTTTTCCTTTCTGCTCTCAGCACGATCATTTCACAAATCATCACTCAGAGCTTTTACACTGAAAAGGGTACACGGTGATGTTTGTGTGTGAAGAGAGAGAGAGGGTGGGGGTTAATTGTGCATCGGTCTGGAAGGGCTGACATTATCTGGGAGGAGGTATTGATGGCTAGATTATTCCTTCCAGCCGGAGATGGGCCTGCGTGGATGGCAGTGGACTCTGGACCTTTAGAAAGCATCGACTTTTTCTGGCTCTCAAGAGGGAAAGATGAGAAAACAAAAAGAGCCACAGAAACAGATACATGGATGGATAAAAACCACTCACGGATAGAGAAGAAGGAAAAGTGTGGCTGCCAAAAAGTCATCCAGTTCAACCCCGTCTCCTAGAGAGCACATCCTACACAGCTGAGTTGTTTCCCAGTTACATTTAGGTGCAACATCATCACTTCTGCACTACTTCACAGGCAGCGTTTTGGTTGAAGGAAAGAAGAGCATCATTTATGATCTGCAAAAGGTGGTTGGGGTCGATGGTGGGCTCACAAAGCACGAGGCTCTCACAGCTGGTGTTGCATTCTTTTAAAATCCTGCCAGTGTTTAAGACAACAGGCAACAAATGGTTCAGGTTAATAAATATNAAGATAGTTGTGCTCAGGTGAATTCAGTATTTCCTGACCGTTCTTGAACACACCACCATTGAACAGGGTGGACTCCTCCCATGGCCCCACCCCTGATTGAAGGTATTTAAAACACCTGTGGCATCATGGCTACCTTTTGCCACATGGGCTCCTCTGAGGTAGGCGATGAAGTCTGGATTGTTCAAAGATTGTTGGCTGTTCGAAAGGTTTTGTTCATTCATTTGCACACAGTGATTAAGGTGCGTTTGTTTGACCGTCTCCTGTTTGCCTCGTCACAGTGGTGTCTGTTTGGCTGAGGTTTGTGACGTCAGATGTTTGTCTGCCTTTGTGTGATGTGGATGCTGCTGATCCTCCTCAGGTCTGCATAGAAGCAGATACAACAAAAGCAAGGATCTAGTCAGGAGAAAACAATCTAGATAAGGGCCACAGAACAAGTCCAAGTGTGATGGGCGTTGATGCCAATAGCAGGCTGTGTGGGAGGCAATAGGATATTTTGTTTGGTTTTTTTGTTTTCAGTCTGTCAAATGCAAAGGTGTTCAGTGAAGAGCTGGTCTTTAGTCTTAAAGACTGAGAGGGAATCAGCAGATGGAGTTTGGTAACTCGTTCCACCGCTGAGGAACCACAGAGGAGAAGAGTCCAGCTCTGGACCTTGGGCCCTGTTGTGGTGGTTGCATCAGGCGGCTTTTGTTGGTCCAGTGTAGTGAGCAGGATGGAGTGTAGAACCGAATGAGAGAGTTCAGGTTGGAGGAAGGAGCTGATCTCATTGTAGTGCAACATAGAAGAAATTTCTCCTCAAGACTGAGTTAAATCTAGAACCGCCACCTCCAGCTCACCTGACCTGCCCTGTTTGGTTTAGATAGAAATCACATGACAGTTACAAAAGAATATTATTTTTTGTCTCCTAGGGAACATAATCTTATGACAGGTTATGCATAAGATTTCGAAAGTCAAATTGCAAGCATCATATGTCCAGCTCTCGTAGAAATCAGCTGCATAAGAAAGTGTCTCACTGGAATCTTGTCAATATTCACTTTAGTCCAATCTACCAGTTCCCATGTAAAACACATTCACACTGAACATGTCAAAATAAGAACCAATTTAAATATCTAACATTAGCAATGAAAACTTCCCAAATATAAATGTGCAATTAACCCTGATGTTAGCTTCACTTTGCTCACCAAACCTCCATGTGATGAGCTTGTCACACATGTATTGAGGGAGATGTATAGTTTTAAAACAGCCACTGACAAGTTTCAGAAAATTCTTGTGATGAAGTTTTGCTCATTTCCATTCTTTCAACCAGAATGAGGATCCTCACAGTTTCCTCCTTTGCT